AAAAGAAAACCTTTTATTTTAAAACAAATTTTAAAATATCAAAATCCTTATTTTATTTTCAAAAACTTATTTAAATTAATTTAGAAGATTTTTTTTCCTTACTAGAAACATTTTCTTTTTAAAAAAAAGTAAAAAAAAAACCTTTTCTAAAAAAAACAAAAAAAAATCTTTTGATAGAAACAAAAGAATCTTTTTCAAATTAAAAGCATGGTTTCCAAAGTCTTTCCCTTTCCAACGTATTTGATACTTACTTAAAATGCACTACCGGGGAGGAGATCGTCGGAGTGCCAGCGGCCTTGGAAGAAGCTGTGAAGAAGAAGGTTGTTGCTGCTGTCGTTAGTGGTGATCGTGGGATAAGAGAGATGGAGAGAAGAAGATATGGTGATGAGGTGATGAGTTTCTAACTCTCTGCACCGTATGCACTGTATGCACTGTCCCTTAAATACATAAAAAAAATAACGGTAAAGAAGAAGAGTCAAAAGAAGAGAGAAAAAAAGAGGGAGAAGAAGAAGGGAAGGATGTCACGCGTTAGGTTATGACGAAGGAAAAACGGGAGGAGAAACCAAATTCTTATTTTTAACCAAAACAGAATCTATTTTTTTAATTAAAAAAACCTTTATTTAAAACAAAATTATATAAATCAAATCAAATCTTTTTATTTCTTTTATTTTAATATTAAATCAAATTCTTTAAAACAATATCTATTTTTTTAATTTAATTTAAACTTTAGCTTATAACCAATAATAAAGTAATCCTATATTATTTAATAAAATAAAAATTAAATAATTAAAAATAAAACTAAAATAAAGTCGGACCAAATACGGTGTCTACACTAGTATCGCTTTGTAGCACAACCATGAGATGTGTTCTTCCTGTTTTACTCGATAAGCCCACTTATTTGTGTGGTTTTCGCTTTAGGTAACTTGACAAGCTTAAAAGTGTGGTTTTCATGCAATGATTTCATTTTATCTTTTACTGCATCAATCGACTATCTTTTGTGCTCATCTTCCATGATATCCTCATAACTCCTAGCTCTATCCCATCAGTTAGTATCACATACTAATCATTAATAAGATATCGTGTGGAAGAACGTCGATTTTTGACAGATCTGTTAGGTGAAACATCTACAGGAACCTTTAGAATCCAATGACTATTCATTAACATCATCATCTACCTCAATCTGTTCTGGACCTTCTACCTCATCTATATCATCAAGCTAATCATTTTAACCTCATTTATCAGTTTGTGTAGAAGGTTGTGTAAAAAGAACTGAATTCAAATCAATCAGATCATAATTGTGCTGAAACAATGTTTTGTCTCTGTATTCTCAATGTGTTGTATGGTCTGGTCTTCTACAAATACAACATCTCGACTTCTTATGAGCGTTTTCTATACTGGATCGTATAATTTGTAATCAAACTCATCTTGGCCATAGTCAAGTAACACAAATGATCTTGACTTTGCGTCAAGCTTCGATCTCTCATCTCTTAGGAACATGTACGAAAGATGTACACCAAAAGACATGCAGGTGATTATAGGATATTTTCTTATCTGGTCAAATTTTGTTCTGGTCTATAAAATTCAAAGGAACACATGACGTGAGATTCAAAATATGCACAACTGTGCTTAATGCTTGATCCTAAGAACAATCTTGGTAACTGTGGTTGTGAAAGCAAACATCTCATCCTCTCAATTAATGTCATGTCCGTTTTCTTAGCTAGCTCATTTACTTGAGGAGTCTTAGGAGGTGTCTTTTAATGTCGAATACCATGGCTTCTACAATACTCATCAAAAGGTCAAAAATACTCACCTCCATTATTGATCCTAATGCACTTCAACCTTTCGCTAGCTTCTCTTTCAACAAAAGCATGAAAATTGTTTAAACACTTGCGCACCTAGTATTTAGTCTTCAATGTGTAAACCCACGTTTTCCTTAAATGATCGTCTTTAAAGGTCGCAAAACATGAGGAACCCTCACGTGTTTTTGTATGCATAGGACCACATACATCAGAATATACTTGGTTAAATATATTTGGCTTTCTTGAGTAGTAAGACACCTAAAAAGAAACTTTTGTTGCTTTCTTGCTAAGCAATTACCACCTCTTTTAGAAGGTGCGTTCTTTATACTAGAAAGATGATTATTCTTGGCCAAAATCGTCAATCTCTTCTCAATAATATGACTAAGTCTCTTATGTCAAAGTTCAACACTTTTTTTTATCATCCACTGTATTTTTTGTGGAATCAATAACCTTGCCCTGCATCAAATACATTGAGGAACAATTCTCTCCCTTATCAACAATCGTTGGGCCTTTAATAAGTTTCCATTTGCCATTGTAGAAGGTATTTCATAAATCTTTATCATCGAGCTATCTTGTGAAGATTAAATTCATGCAAATATTAGAGAAATGTTTTACATTCTTCAAAATCAGTGTAGTACCATTCTTGGTCTCCAAGTGCATATAACCAATGCAATGACTTTAGCTTATCCATTACCACCCATCCTAACACTATCGAAATCACCAAATGTGTAGGATGCAAAAAAATTCCTCTTGGGTGTATCATGAATTCATGCGCCACTATCAATCACCTAACTGCTCTATTGTATAGCTAGACTAATAACATCACCATCAAATAAGATAAGAAACTCTTCGGTAGTTGTAACAACTCTATCTAGGTCATTACCATCATTATTCATCTTTTCCTTATCTTTATTATTTTTAAATTCTATCTTCAGTTGTCGACAATATTTCTCTATATGATCTTTCATGTCACAAAAAAAAAACACTCAACATTGGCAAACTAGCTATTTTTACTTTTGCTTCTATCTCTACCCTTCGAAGCTTTACTCTTACTCTTATCCCACTCCTTTCAGTAACAAGAACCTCTAACTATGATAGAGAGTCTTATGAATTTCTTATAATCTCTTCATTTAGAATACTATTTTAACCGGTGGGAGTGAGATGATTCGAACTCACGGTATCTTAGTTAGAAATAGGTGCCAATTACCACTAAACTAAGCTCATGTTGCCTTTAATTGTGTTAGTGACTGTGGTAAGGTTTAGGGTTAAGTAAAATAAAGAATGAAATAAGTAGGTTTTTCGGCTGGGTAAAAATATTTTAGGATGATTTATGAAATTTAACTAAACCATAGAGATTAAGTTGAATTTATAATTACCAAAGCGAGCATAAATCAACGGTAATTAATATATATCTCCAACCAAGAGGTTGTGAGTTGGATTTCCCACCCCCACATGTTATACTAAAAAAAGTTGAACTTGTAATTTTTTTCAAAAAAGAAAAAGTTGAAGTTGTAAAAATATTCAGATTAAATTAAAACCGTAGTAACAAAATTGAAACCCAATAAACTTTTTTTTTTACCACATGTGGGGGGTGAGGATCGAATTCACACCCTCTTGGTTGGAGACATAAGTCAGTTATGCTCGCTTTGACAAATAAATTGAAACTTAAAAAAATACTTCGAACGAATTTAAAAGTATACCCAAATAATGGAGACCAAATTATATATACATATATATTTTCTTTTATTATTATTATTATTTTTTCTGAAAAATTTGTGTCAACAAAAAGTTTTTTTTGGTGGAAAGTATCAAGAATAAGAAGTACTGGGCAACAATGGTAATTCTGAAGAACTTAAAGGGCGGAGTTGCGAAAACCCGTAAGCGAAATTCTTCATGCGCAAGTTTTTGTTCGTTGGTGAACAAAACTCATCGGAAATCTTTCTCCAATTAGGGTTTAACTTTGCACTGCCGAGGGCTTGCTCTGTGATTCATAGCCATCTCTAATCTGTCTCTACTAGAGTTTAAACTTGAAGATCAATCGGTTCATCTCCAAATCCAATTGAAGAAATGGTACTTTTTCGTAGTTGCAGTTCTAAATTGATTTTCAGATCTGAATCTTTGAGTCTTCTATTGTCCTGACTTCCGATTCTGATACGCATTCGATGTTGGATCTTGTGGAATTTCAGGAAGGTGAACGTAATTTAGAGGCAGCAATAGAGCAGCTGCTCAACGTCGAGAAGCAGATGCGGCTCGCCGGAGATGTGGCCGGTACTAAGAAGGCCGCCACTGACATTTTACAGCTCTGCTTTGAAGCGAAAGCATGGGGGACACTCAACGACCAGATTGTGCTCTTATCCAAACGCCGTGGACAACTGAAGCAGGTTTGTGGATAGGAAATTGTTCTCTTACTTCCAAGTTTCAACCATTTCGCGTTAGAGGAGCTGTGTTTCCTTTGAACTCTTGGTCTCGGAGCTTCAATCGGTTCAGCTTTCATTTCTTATTGTCCGTACATTTAACTCGATCATTTTCGTTTAAGCATCGTGTATTGAATTTGTATCAAAGAGACCTCTCTCAATCAGATACTATTTGTTCTTTGAGATTCGAACTTCCAACATCTGGGTTGTTTAATTTTCATTTAGGCTGTGACTGCAATGGTCCAACAAGCAATGCAGTACATTGATGAAACGCCAGACATTGAGACCAAAATAGAGCTTATCAAGACGCTCAACAATGTGTCTGCAGGAAAGGTAAATTTGTTGTATTAGCTTCAAGTGTTTCTTTGGAGAAGGAAAATAGTTTTCATTTAACCGTACATAGTTTAGTATTTTATACTTCAGCCTATTGCTTTGTAGATATACGTGGAAATCGAGAGAGCCCGGTTAATCAAGAAATTAGCAAAAATTAAAGAAGAACAAGGGCTTATTGCAGAAGCTGCTGATTTGATGCAAGAAATTGCTGTATGTGTTATATACTTTAGCAACAAGCAGAATGTTTTTGTTCCAATCTTCCCATTTTCAATGGTTTAGTTTCTGATAATTAAGATCACAGGTGGAGACTTTTGGTGCCATGGCTAAAACTGAGAAAATTGCATTCATTCTTGAACAAGTACGCCCCTTTTTAACCGGTTGTAGGTTATTCTTGCACCCATCTGTATCAAGAAATCGTACGTTTTGTTGCTAATTCAAATTTTTGTGACAAGACTGTATGTTGAATCTTAATTGCAGGTTCGTCTGTGTTTAGACCGTAAGGATTATGTTCGTGCTCAGATCCTATCAAGGAAAATCAGTCCAAGAGTTTTTGATGCAGATCTTACAAAAGAGAAGAAAAAACCTAAAGAAGGTGACAATATTGTTGAGGAGGCTCCAGCTGATATACCATCATTAATGGAGTTGAAGCGTATTTACTATGAATTGATGATAAGGTAAATGGTTGCTTACCTTTTCTTTTAAAAATGTATTTAATTATTATTTTTTTGGGATAAGAAATCGTTCTTTCATTGAAAGAAAAGAAAGAATATACAGGGGCATACAAACAAAAAGCCCGTCAAATAAAACCCCAACCAACAGTGTAAAGGTTTCCAATCTAATAGACCAACTCCTAACTGATTGTTACAAAAATCCTTTGAATTATTATTTTTTTGGGATAAGAAACCGTTCTTTCATTGAAAGAAAAGAAAGAATATACAGGGGCATACAAACAAAAAGCCCGTCAAATAAAACCCCAACCTACAGTGTAAAGGTTTCCAATCTAATAGACCAACTCCTAACTGATTGTTACAAAAATCCTTTGAATTATAAATATTCGTCCACAAGGAGGAGTTAAATCTAATAACATCCTAAACCTCCACCCAAGACCTCTCAAATCCTCTAAAAATTATATAAATGGTTGCTTACCTTTTTTATTTTTAAATGCAGTTTCTGTTAAAAATTTGTAATAGATCTTATAATCTTGTGAAATGGTTTATTTTCCATAGTGGATTTCAGGACAGTCAATGCTATGAGTATAAATCTTGTTCTGAGTTCTTTGTTTTAAGTTTGTGCAGTTTTATATTTGCAATGTCCCATCCCTAACAGATCCTTAAAGAAACTCTGTGATGTTAATTTCAGAAGCTTAAGATTATTGGTTGATTTTGTCTTTTTAATGTAAGGAAGTTGCTTCTTTCTGGCAAGTGATGAACAATTTTATGTACTCCTATAAGAGAGATTCTTTGTTAATCTAGAGGGCCTTTTTTCTGGCCATCTGATTTGACATTGAGGATAATTTTTTCAGAGGTTTGGAGCTCTATTTAGAGACTGGAGTAATGTTTAACTCTTGGTTTCTCTCTATTCTTCATTCATCCTTGATAATCAATAATCAGGATACAACTGCCATTTAGGGACTTATTATTTTGGCTTTTGTATGGTTTTAGGCTCGATTCTTGTTGTGCTCTTTTTCCAAATCCCTTTAGCTCTTCCACGGATCATTCTTTTACTATTAATTAATTAATTATTTTTTTTTTGACAAGAAACATAAATTTTTCATTGAGATTTGAGAAGTTAGAAATCAACTTTCTACAATTAAAAGAATGGGAAAAGGAGACACCCTAGCTGCAAGCTAACATAGAGGCTCTTTTCCTGATAAATGCGTAAAAGAATAGCCCTCCAATATCAGAACAGTACAATCTTACAAAAAACTTCCCAATTAGAGTTAATCTCAGTGATGGAATTATTTTGAAAAAGTTTGTTCGGAATACACCAAGAAGCTATATGAACTTTGATCATCTCAAAGCTTTCACCCCAAGGAGCACATTTATTGTAAAAGATCTTCTTGTTTCTTTCAAACCAAAATTTGAGATTGAAGATTTAACAAGATTGGGCTGAAGGGTTCTTGCTTTCCTTCTAGAACCATGGCTTCAAAGAAAAGCAAATGTATTATCCTTAGCCCTCAAATTGCAAATCCACGAGCAATCAGATCTGAAAGGGAGCACTCAAAATGTGCTCACTGGATGAACAGTTAAAACAAACATGATGAATATCGTTGCTCTCAGTAAGACATGAAGGACAAGCATTTGGGTTTAAGACCAATTTGGGCACTTCCTCTGTAATTTTACTATTAAATTCTTAACAGGTTGACTTCCGTTCAAAATTAAATAACAATAGTAGATAAGTACACAACGAATGACTGCTTTTTTTGTTATAAAAAGTTTCAACTACTTACGGTTACATATACTTCTAACTTTGTTAACGTTGGCTCCAAAATTCAGATCAAATAAGTTGTTTCTGTTTTTTCCTCTCTTTTTTTTCTTTGTTGTTGTTGTTTTTATTTATTTATTTATTTATTATTATTATTTTTTTAAAAGTTGTATTGAAGATGCTACCATATCCATGATAAGATTTTAAAAAGGCTATCAACAAGCATATTGCTTGGGATATTATTTGCACCATCCACCATTTCCAACTTTGCATTTCCCCTGGTTTTAAACTTAGCTGATGTGCTGTCACAAAACAATATATATTATTAACTTATTTGTTCTGCTGGATTTAAGCTCACCAGAAAGCTATTACTGTTTTCACTACGACATTTTGAATATTGGTCATTCACATAGGGGACCTTTTTAATATTTTGAAGGCAAATAAGATCTTTAAGACTTTAAATACTTCTTCAACACTTTCGGAGGACAAATTGAAGACTAAAATCTAAAAATTCTACAGGACTCTAGTGCTTACCAAGACTCTAACAAACTGATTGATTTCTTCCTACGAAGATTTAATCTCGTTTATCTGAAAATAAGTTGTATGAGCCCTCAAATCAAAGTTTATATTGAATATAAAGATTAAGATTTCTATTTAATGTATACTTTAAGCATTCAAATATTAATAAAATTCAGGTCTATGTTGGAGGAGATCCTTGTGCTTCCTCCATTTTGGGATAAGGGCCGGATTTTGTGGCATGTTGGTTTCGTTGCAGTCCTTTGGGATCTCTAGCCATGGAGGAATAATAGAATTCTTAGGGATGTGAAGAGATCTTGGGAGGAGTGGTCTTTGGCTAGGTTTATTGCCTCTACGTGGGCATCCGTATCTAAGGACTTTTGTAAGGTTTCATTATTTTGGATTTGAGCCCCTTTTTGTATAGTTAATTTTGGGGTTCCCCTAGTCTTGGGGTGTTTTTTTTCTTTGTATTGTTCTCTTTCGTTCGTTTCTGACACCAAAAGAAAAAAAAATTAAAAATGAAATTCATATTTATTTTGTTGGCTGTTTGTAGGGTATTTATCTTGAGAGGAATAATATGATTTTTATTTGGGTTGAGAGGTTTTGGGAAGAGGTTTGAGTCTCTTGCCAGGCTTGATGCATCTCTTTTATATTGCTGTATTGGTCTCTAAGGAACTTATAATGTTTTTGGTTTGACTCTTTTTCTTGGGTTGGTTTTTCGTTTGCTCTTTTTTTCTTTAATTTTTCTCAACAGAGGCTTAGTTTTCTTTGGAAACGGAAAACAATGAAATTCATATGTATTCTACCATTTCATTTATTTGAAATTTTGTGCAAACAGTGTTGCTTGTTCTTAGCTAGTTAGCTTAGCTGTCTAGAACCAAGAAGGGAGGGCGGTTTCTTACTAGATGAAACGGGAAGCATTTTCTGTGGGATGTAAAGCATTTATTTTCTTCCACATTACAATAGTGTGGTTTGTCCTTATAATGACTGAATTTGACCCAAGTATGCATGAATATTGTCGAAAACATGCATGATCAACATGATAATGTTTTTTTTTTAGATTTTGACAACGAAGGCCTTGGATATTTGGTTTTATTTTGCAATGAAATTTATACAAGTCTACTCATCATCCATTGCAGGTACCATTCCCATCACAATGATTACCTTGAAATTTGTCGCTGCTACAAGGCAATATATGATATTCCTTCTGTCAAGGAAAACACAACTCAGTGGATACCAGTAAAGCCCTTTTCCCTTTTAGATAAGTCCCGAAATTTGTTGCACTTGTCTAATTTTACCACTGTAGGTCCTGAGGAAAATCTGTTGGTACCTGGTTCTATCACCACATGATCCCATGCAGTCGAGCCTTCTTAATTCCATCTTGGAAGATAAAAATCTCTCAGAGATCCCGAATTTCAGGTATGTCTTCAATTTGTTTTTTTGGTGCTTATTTATGTTTACAGGATTTTTAAAAAATTGAACTATTTTTGCATGTCTAGTGAATTTAAAATTCAGAGTGACACTGTTTAGCATAGGTTCCTTGTTCCATATTGTAGTTGTGCTGCTTGTTGATACTTCTTCGTCATCTTTGTCATAGATTGTTGTTGAAACAGCTAGTTACTATGGAGGTCGTCCAATGGACAGCTTTGTGGAATGATTACAAGGACGAGTTTGAGAATGAAAAGAACTTGTTAGGAGGCTCTTTGGTTGAGAAAGCTGCAGAAGATCTTAAACAAAGGATAATCGAGCATGTATTATATGTTCCATTCCCTTTATCTCTTTACTTTGTTTAGCGATGTTCATATGGTCATTGTAATTCAATGTATTTTTTCTTTTAGAATATTCTTGTTGTGTCGAAGTACTACTCGAGGATTACATTGAAGAGACTTGCAGAGCTGCTGTGTCTCAACCTTCAGGTTCGTAAATGATATAACCTCATCTATAAAATTTTGGTTAAACTACAAGTGTTGTCCTTGCACTTTCAAAGTTGTGCCGGTCTCTAAACTTTAAAGTGTCTAATAAGTTCTTGATATATTAGATACTTTTTTAAAATTCACGAACCTATTAGACACCATTCAACTCTAAATATAAAAAATTGTTGAATAGGTACAGATTTATTAGACAACACCTTATGAGTTCAAAGACTTAATAGACACTACTTTAAAAGTTTAGACTAAACTGATCAATTAAGTTAAAAATTCCCTCTCTTCTACTCTTATTTATGCCCTTGACCTGTTTTGTTAACTCTGAGCCTTTTCTTCATTCAGGAGGCGGAGAAGCATCTTTCTGAAATGGTTGTGTCCAAGGCCTTAGTGGCGAAGATCGATAGGCCGATGGGGATTGTCAGTTTCCAGACGTCGAAGGACAGCAATGACATTCTCAATTCATGGGCAATGAACTTGGAGAAGCTTCTTGATCTTGTTGAAAAGAGCTGTCACCAAATACACAAGGAAACCATGGTTCACAAAGCTGCTCTAAAAGTTTGAGAAGAATGATGATTATGCGCCATGTGTTATCGGTAGATTGCTCATCACGCTTTTCATACTTAGAACTTCACATCCAAAAAGGGAAAAAAAAGGAATCAAGTACTTTTCACGATGTTAATCTTCATGAATGTTTTGTGCAGGTCACCCAAAATTTGGCATGTTTGATTGATGTGCCTAACAGATCTATGGAGAATTTATCCTGTTTTTTCTGAAGTTGATTGTTTTGGTGGTAAGGAAACAGAACTTTGGTATGCTTCTTAGAATTGGAAGGGAAGATTGTTGTATAATACCGACTAGAAATCGGAACCTCGATGCCCTTTTCTTACTTTTGTAGCGGCTGRATTAAATCGCCTCACTTAGTTTAAATTCTTAGGCTATGTTTGCTACATTCAGCTACCATTTTATCCAGTTTAGGCTTCTTTTTTTATTTTTTTATTTTTTATTTTATGTTTTTTGCATTTCAACCATCCAGTTCTGTGTGTTGGGATTATTTGTTGGATGCTTTCATTTTTCAAATGTGTCTGGAAACTGCTTCTGTTTTGCTGCCTTAGTTTTGATATTTCTCTTTTGTCCTCTCAATTAACTGCCCCAACTTTTAAATTTTTAAAGAAATAGTTTGGATTGTATATGTATTTTGGGCAGATTGAACTTTTTGCCAAGTTTGCACTCGGTTTTAATTTGATACCTGAAGTTTCCAGAGTAAAGCTTTAGCGAGTTTGAAAAGAGTAAAGCTTTAGCAAGTTTGAAAAATAGTCATAAATGGCCTTGAGTTGAGACGATCGTTAGCACGGCAATTTTTCCACCTCCCCGACATCACTGGTGTGCAATTATCTTCATCTCCGTTCCCCTTTCTTTCTCTTCTCGATGCGATGATGTACATCGACCACTTCATCTCTTCTACTACGAGCGGAACTTTGATCCAAAATTTAAACCTCTCCAACATCATTTATTCACTATCTTTGTCTCTCATTGCAATTCCAAAGTCTAGAAAATATGGAAGATTATAACATGTCAGTAATTTTTTCTAACATATTTTCAAAAACAAATTTAAGTTTCATTAGAAAAAATTGTAACATAAACAAAATTGAAACAACTCGTAGTATATATTACATGCCATTTCTTATTGAACTTCCAAAATGTCAACTTTTATCTCTCAATTAAATTTTTTTTTTCATTTTTTTATCATTACACTATTAATTATTTAATAGATGAATAATGTGATTTCATTAACGAGAATGTTTTCTAATACTGGATGGTATAAATAATTTTCTATACAATTCTTAGCATCATCTACCCATGAAACAAAACTACTGAAGGAGAGGAAAAACATCTTTTTTTTTTTTCCTTGGCCTTTTAGGGAATTCGATCCTCACAAAAAAGTCAATAATGCTTTGACTAATTGAATTATTCAACATAGAAATATGTAAAAAGAAATCAATATGTATGATGATTGAGTATATTAGTGTTAAGAAAAGGAAAAATGGAGAATCTTTGGATTAGAGAGAGAAAAAAAAATGTTAAAACACTTTCCAAAACTTTAATAAGTGAAAATTAAAACAAAAAAAAAAAGGAATTGAAATGGTTCAAAGTTTGAAATACAAAGTCAAGGGGACGAAGGCTACATGCCTTTCAAAACAATTGTGAAAAAAATGCTTTTTTTTTTTGGGAAAGCAATGATTGAGGTACAAGCAATGATCATGGGATGTGATTATGATTCAAATTCTAAGCAAAATGATTTCATAATACCTTCCTACAAAGAATTTCAAAGTTTGATCAAATCAAAGACAAATTAAAAATTTGATTGTCTTCATCCAACTCTCACTTTGTAAATAATAAAGGCAATTCTCATTTTTTAGGATTATTATATATCAGCTCTTAAATTATTAAAATGCCTATTTTATTCCATAGATGTTTATTTAAATTTTCCTCCCACATGAGTGATTTGGTATAACAACAATAATATAAGTCACGAAATAATTAAAAGAAAAAAAGTACACACATGATATCAGATGTATAATGGTTTATTCCAAACTCGAGATTACGCCAATCTTTTATAATTGTAGGTTCTATTTTGATATTTTAAAAGTTCAAATTTTAACGACTAAAATGAAATAGTCAGCTTCACACATAGAATAACCTAACCTTGTGTGAGGTTTGTTGAGGAACTCAACGAAAGAAAAAATATCAAAATGGAATTTAAAGTTTTTTTTTTGTTGGGTTTGAGAAGTGAATTTCTTTAAAGTTTAATTACAGGAAGTGGCGTTAGTTTAAGAATTTGTATTTAATTATAAATTCAAAGTACTTAAATAGTTAGTTATATTACTAAAAAATAAAGTTAAAAAAATAATAACAAATAAATGTTTCTTTAGTTAAACAAACTGCGAGACAAAAATTGAATCTTCAATCTCAAAATGGTAATTAATAAATATCTTATCTATTCACTTATGCTTGATTCGATGTTAAAAAATAACTTTAATCACAATAATACACAATAAGTTTTCTCACTAATTACAGTCATTAAATTATTATTGCAAATAATTGTTCTATAATCATTCTAGAATCGATAGACCCGATCCAAACACACCACGCCTAATTAGATCCGACTCGGTTGAGCCGTTCTACCAAACAAGACTCGATCAGGTCCACTCGAAGAGAGACATATAGTGCAAGGTACATATGGTCTACAAAACAATAATTTTTTGTTATTCTAAACTGAACTATTGTCTAACTTAAGCATCGAAGTGTGTTGCAAATCAAAGTTAAGATCTTTTGTGTTTGTAGGTATTTGTCGAAGTCCTAATCCAAATCCTACATCAACAGATGATTGTTATGTTTATTTTTCGTGGTCTATTGATATTTTGCCTTTCATTGATATTGAACTACTATTTGATAGTTATCTTCTATTTTTCTCCCTAGTTCGATTTTGAATGCCATAAAGTCTTGTCGTCAATAAATATATATATATTATTGTCAAACTTTCTTATCTACAATGTAACTATTTATGTTTTAATTATTTTGTAAATGTGATAATTTTACATATACTCTATAAAGTCACAAAAACTTTCTTGATTTTAGTATATTTCTAATTATTATCAATATTCTTCTAGAAGAGTATGGTTTTGAAGCAAATTATATCTATATAGTTATGATTTTTGTTGTTGTTGATGCATGGATTGTGCTCTCCCGATTCCTTTAGAGGTTCGCACCAAGCTTGATTATTAGGGAATCGAAGACCTGCAAGGCTAGATCGGTGTAACTCTTGTTACACGGGCTCCGATGCCTAAGTTAGCAAGGGAGGTGATTGAGTAATGAAATTCAAGTGTAGAACTCGGTTTACCTTAGGGTTAGGCTAGATTGCCTATTTATAGTCGCTTGGAAGGTTCCAGACCCCTCTAAAGGAGCCGTAGTTCGTTGCTGCAAAGCCTAAGGTGCATGGAGCAGAAGAGGGGGATTACCGGGCTTGGCAATGGGTCGAGCCTCGGTCGGGATCGAGACGTGGTCGACTTGATTCAGTTCTTCCGGTGGCCTCTCTGTTCCTCTCCTGCTTGGTTGACCCGTTAATTTGTCATTTTTCCTCTGTATAACAATTGCCCCTACTCCCAAGACGATGATTTTGATTTTGTCTCCATCTCCTTGGGAGTATATTGTGGGAGTATATTGATAGGAGTGTTGGAGCGCGCGAACAAGGAGCTTTACCAGGGGGTAGTCAGATCGTACTTAACCTTTCACATTTTGCTAGATGACATAAAGGAAGGACCTTCTCGACTGTCGTGCCCCCACAGTTGTCGTGACTTTCCACATTATGCCAGGTTCGTGACCGAGGAGGTCACGGGCTTCCGGGTACCTAGCCGAGCATGCCTCGGTCTCATGATAGAAGTCCAAGTTCAAGCCAGTAGAGTTGTCCCCTCATCGCGAGACCTGAGAGGATCACGGTTGAATTGTTCCATCCCCCCACTGTAGGACCCGTGACCGAGAAGATCACAAGTTCCTCGGGTACCGAGTCGAGCAGGCCTCAGACCGATAGTCAAAGACCATCATGTCGAGAGCTATGCTCCTATGTTGAAGGCTATTTAACCCCCCTTCAAGCCCTCCAATGTCGATCATCCCTTCAACTAAGGTATAATTCTTTTTTACTTAGCTTTTGTTGTGTTTCCTTACCACTATGGCATCTGATCTTAATTTCGAATGGACCTCTTCGGATGACGGGTCGTTGTCGAACCCCTCATCTGGGTCTCGACCTTACCGCCCATCTTGGGTAGATAATTCCACTCTTACGGTGAGGGACCTACGTCGTTTGCGTTTGAAATACCGCATTCCTGATTCAGTTAGCATTGTCTTCCGAATCTGGGAGAGAGTATTGACGGGTTTTTCCCTGGAGAGGTTGTATTTTATGTAGCCATGTTCCAGTTCGGTGTCCGTTTGCCGTTGCCTCTGTTTCTTCAAAATTTCTTAGCTTTCAATCAAGTAGCTCCTTCTCAAATTGTTCTCAACGGGTGGTATACTCTTATTAGTTGCTTCATTTTGTGGTCCTACCTCGGGGTGAACAACCTCTAACCGCGACCAATTTTATGTCGCTCTATTTCCTCAAGCATAGCCTTGAAGATAATTTTCATTTTTACGTTAGCTCTCGGAATCAAATTCCTGTTATGGGTCATTCCTCAATGAAGCACAGGAAGGACGAATGGTTCCTTGTCGGTGGCGACTGGCTAGTCCATGACAAGAGAGGATTGCATTTTCCCATCCCGACTGAGTGTATGGAGCTAGGTAAGTAGTTTCCTGAGCTCTATCAGGGCTTTTCATAGATCTTTATTCTGATATTTTTTCCTTTGTTGACAGTTCCTCGTAATTGTGAGCTTACTGCCGAGGCGTTCGACTTTTACCACACCGTCATCCAGTTGCCGGATACTGAGCGTTGGGGCCCGGATCTAGTTAAGGAACAAAATCTAGTAGACTTTGGTTTGGCTCCCCCTCATTACCCCAACAGGTAATCGCTAAAAATTATTCCAAATCTTGCGTAAGGGTCAATTTTCACCTTCACCCCTTTTTATAGAAATGTCGAGACGGAGCGCCTCTCTATTTGAAAGAGAGTGTCGCCGGAATGCTCGGAACTCAAGGGCAGACTCCATTCGGGCCTCAGACATCAAGGTGACCGACTTGACTGAGGAAGACTCCCCATCTCGACAGGCTCAGCCTCTAATGCCTTCCATAGCACCCCAGCATTCTGCTAAGCTTCAAGGGACGTCTACCCCTTCTTCTTTTCGCGGTCATCTAGGGATCTCCTCCCACGCTTCAATTTTCCCTTTCTTTGGTCCGTACAACGCTGATGTGGACAAAGCAGTTTACCTAGAGAGGGTTTTTAGCCTTTGGCAAGGGCTCAGAGATTCATCAAGTGGGTCGGATTTTGGCTTGTCGAATTCTCAGCACAACATCAATACATGCCTTAGCGACCTCCACCAGGTGAACATTTGTAGTTTTAAGTACCTGTCGTAGTATTTTCACTTAACGTTGGTTTATGCCTTTGGTAGGTTTTTAATTGTCTGGTGGTGTTCT